CTAAGCTAATTCCTCCATGGTCTGTCCATTTGGACGCAATCTCGCCATGACGTCATGATAATGATAAACTAAGTAAGTTACCTTAATGTTTGCGAAATAAAAATGCTAGCTAATATTTTGTGTGCTTTCTATCTCACTAGTCTTGTTGATCGTAAATAGCCGATAGTATTTCCACTCACAATAGTGTAGTCGCAGTACTACTTGCACAAAAGTGAAATTCAATAAGAGGAGAAGAGGAAAAACCTCTTGATTGATTCTTAAATTACGCTGCACATGCAAAGAGACTAAATTAAAGTGATTGTTTTAAGTTTATCATATTTGTTTTTCATGGTTCGAATACGTCACAAGCTAATCAGTAGATAATAAATCATTATTTTTATAAATGTTAGTTTGCACGAATTATACAAGCAGGCATGATGAATACCAAGATTAATTGAAAAACTTTTTATGATGAGCATTTCAGTGGGGCCCAGCCAGCCCATCCTCCCTATTTTTTTTCTCAAAATTTAAAAGTGGAGAAAAAAGAAAATTAGGTCTTTATTTAAATTTAATTTAAGCCTGAGAATGCCATTTCCGGCCAACTAGAGGTGCCATAATCATAAATTTTACGTGCCCTCGCAAAATTTTTGTTTTATAAACGCCCGAAAATAACCTCAGAGGCCATCAATTTTTTTTTCTTTTTTCCTTTCCTTAGTGGGCCCTAGGCGTCACCCAGCCAAGGCTTGGGCTTACAGCCCAAGATTTCCTTATTATTCTATTCGTTTCCCCCACCCCACTCAATTTTCAACAATGGATAGACGCCCTTGGTTCAATTAGCCCCGTAAGGGGGGGGGGGGACGTGTCTCCCGCCAGTTTTCAGAGTGCCACTAAATTTGAATGCATGGGCCCTATACTAACTTTAGCGCTACTCACTTATCTATTCTGAATATGTTGTGCCCCACCCCTTCTTTGACAAGTTCTTGATCCGCCCCTGCCCTATTTTACAGTTAGGGACCGATTGAAACTCAGGCCTAATTAATTAGTAGGCCTATGGTGTAACTATTGGGAGTTATAATTTATATATTTGATCCCTTATTATAACTTCTTATTCATTCGGATCCGGTGTCAAAATAGTACCCTGCCACACACCAGTGACGTAACTAGGGCTCAGCCCCCAACGAAAACAAGTCTTTCCACCCCCCCCCCCATCCCCGGCGTCCACCAACTGGAAATTTGCCAAGCGAAAAAAAATTTATTTTGTAATCACTTTTTTGTAACTTATTAGGGCCTACATTATGATTTCATCATACTGTAAATGTATTGTCGGTCGTTACTCTGTAACTCGTTCTTTGTCAACTGATATACAATTCAAGTATTCGTTGCATGATTCTATGCCAAGTTCTACTGTATTAGGGCCTACAGGTATATCATTTTTTGTTTGTTTTGTTTTGTTTAAATTAAAGAATCAAGATATTTAATAAAAACTCAATGCTACCACCAATAATAGTAGAAAAAAACATGGACTTATTCCCCAGTCGTTATTTTAAACAGTTGCACAACCAAGCGTAATAATATTTTATGGATCTAATCACTGAGAAATATTTCATATACTGTAAATGATACATAATTTCTGTCCGTTTTCCGAGAGAGGTATATACAAGATATAATTATTTCTGAATACAGAATAAGAGATTTTTTAATTAAATAATATATTTTTAGATTTTGTATTTGCAAAATAGTTCTACTTTCTCGGATTAACACTGTGAACACAGCACAGTTATTAGGTTTTGTCCTTTTTACCTCGTGTCAGCCATCTTGGCAAAATGAGGTAAGTATGGCTTGTAAATTACACAATAATATAGTGGTATGCGTTGTAGATAACAATGTTTTTAAATAAATAAGTAGAAATATTAACATTAGTGTATCTATTTTGACCAATGGTGTATCAATCGTGACAGGCCTATGCTAGGCTAGGCCTAGCCTACTGCTGTACATCCAATGTATGAATTACCCAATGTATTATACATACAGTACCAGTGCAGTAGCCTAGGCCTAGTTACGATTCTGCACACCTATTTTCCTAGCGATTTTCCGCACAGATTTGAGCCTAGGCTAGCTAGGCCTAGCCTAGTTTTTGAAGCAATTAAATACTTTATAGTATGAGCCTAGGATAGTATGTATGAGCCTAGGCCAAACGGGATATGATATGACTTCTTCGGCCGCCGACACCTTCGGCCGCGCGAGATTTATATGGAGCGCCAGTTGGGCATTTCTCCACACCGCATGCTGTGGCGGCGTATGCCTAACTTTAAGCCTTTGCTAAACTAAATAATTGCTGTCATGTCGCACAGTATTTACGTATTTATTTTAGGTATTGTATGTATATAATAATTGCTTTCATGTACAGTACTATTATTTACTTATTTATTTACATTGAAGAATTGTAAAGCTTCAGTATTTTATTTGTTTTACAGAACAGTATTGTTATTCATTATACAATTTGAAACTGTCTGTAGGCCTATTCATTGTACAGTAATTCATATTTCCAGTATAAGCTCCAGTATTTTATTTATTAATAGACTACAAAAAAGCATTTTTTACTGTATTTTTATTCATATTTTTCGTCAGTTTCCTTTATCCACAAAATAGAATTTCGTCAAATAAAATTTAGAATGATGCACGTGCACAAATTTCGTCCTTTATCCACAAAATAAAACATTTTTTTAAATAATTTTATTTTTATGTCTGTTGTCTGTTCATGTTATCTTTTCATACAAGATCAGGTGTAAAAATAACACATTAGCGAGGGTGATGAAAGTGTGTTATTTACAAGAGTTTGAAAAAGAAATCTAGAGTAAATTTGTCGATCATTAGTCAATAAAAATTCTTTAGGAATATCCTCTATTCTCATGCCCTTAATGTACATACACTTTATATCATTAAAGCCAATCAATTAATTTACTCAATCAAATATTTAATTTATTGGTGATTTAAAATTCAGGTCTTTATATTTACATCTGAATAGTAAACAAGTGCACATGTAAAAAATGAGATCTTTAATCGATAACAAGCAATGATGTTTACCTTTAACAATTATTATCGTCAAAATGTTTAAAAATCTTGCAAATATGTTGCTTGTGTTAACCATGGTGTAAGTGGCAGCGCAAAGTGTGCCATGTTTAATTCGTTATGATTTTTTTCACAAATTATATAATTTTATCACTGAAATTTTAACAAACTATTAATATTAATTGTTGCGACATGTTCTGTGTGTATAGGCCTATCTGTAACAATGTAGGCTTGAGTGTTTCTGAAATTGAGGTTAAGAATTGAATAGATATAATAGCGCTCATTCAACCACTGTATATCAGCTTGACAAACAATAGCACGCATTCAACTTCCAATCGGCAAAGCACTCAAAGGGCGCTCCATACATTTTGGTGTTCGACAGGGCAGGGCCGAAGTTGGCCTAAAGCGGCCAAACATAACATAAAAAAGGAAAGTAATTTTAAGTTAATCTTTAAATTCTCCTAGCCCTAGGCCTATATATAGACTTATAGTGATATGATAGCATTATTATTATTTGTAAGTAAGTAAGTAACAAAAAACACTTAATTTCCTGATTTTCTGGATGTTACATTGTGCTGTAGCCGAAACGGTGGCATTCGACTCCCCATGATATAAAGACTTATTTATAAAGCTGAAGTTTGTGTCCCTTGCTTGGGTACTTTCAAAAGACTATCTCCTGTATGAAGCGAATTTCAAACACGATTTTGACATGTGTTTCTCCAACTTATTTTTGAATTGGTTGATTTCGTATCAATAGTATTTTTTTAGTGTAACACGAAGAGGTAAACTCACCAGGTCACTTGGGATCTAATGACAATGCACTTTTCAAGCAGTCACAGTTTTTTGCAGTGTACTTTTTCATTATTTAATTAAATAGCAATAGGAACCCCTGATAAAATGATTGCTCAATGGAGATCTCTGGTTTGGCAGTCAGTAATTACATACAGCTGTAATGATATAAATATATATATCAACTTTTAATGAACAACAAAAGCAATTAAATTAAAAGGTTTTTATTGACTTTTGAGATTATCCTTTTTGGGTGGGTCATGTACCATGGTGGTATGAGTGGTTTCTAATTAATGAATACTGGAACTTCAGGCCTGCCTTAAATTAATATTTAAGCCATATTTGAGATAAAAACCTTGTTTTCTTAGTTATTAACTTAATTATTTACATCTTTCCAGTAATCTCCGCTTGCAGAAACGACTGGCCTCCAGCGTTCTAAATTGTGGAAAGAACAAGATTTGGTTGGATCCAAATGAAATAAATGAGATTGCAAATGCCAACTCAAGTAAGTAAATAAAACCATGGTTGGTAGGGTATAAGTATTAATTATGCTGTTTATTTTAATATTTGTATTGGTATTTAGTATTGGAAGTAACAAAATAAAAAATTGATACCTCTGTGCACCAGCAAACACTGGACACAACCTGGCATTTTCCTGCAACAGGACCTTATACTTGAGTTGTGGTCAATGTATATGATAAAAAAATGCTACAACTCTGGTTGCAAAATATTCCAGGTCAGTGGTGAGGAGCACATTTATCTTTGGACAGTGTGAGAATACACCATCTGATTTGTATTAATATAGCCCATTCAAAAGAAAGTGCAGTATTAATACAATCACTGGCAAACACAATATGCATTAGTTAATGCATATTGTGATAATGCTCATTGAAAATACAGTAATTTAAAATCAAAATGTTGATAAAAATTGATAAATTCCTCATTTTTTATTTCCTTATTTTTAGGACAGAATGTGCGAAAATTGATCAAAGATGGGGTATAAGTATTAAATATGCTATTTATTTTAATATTTGTATTGGTATTTAGTATTGGAAGTAACAAAATAAAAATTAGATACCTCTCTTTGTGCACCAGCAAACACTGGACACAACCTGGCATTTTCCTGCAACAGGACCTTATACTTGAGTTGTGGTCAATGTATATGATAAAAAAATAGTACAACTCTGGTTGCAAAATATTCCAGGTCAGTGGTGAGGAGCACATTTATCTTTGGACAGTGTGAGAATACACCATCTGATTTGTATTAATATAGCCCATTCAAAAGAAAGTGCAGTATTAATACAATCACTGGCAAACACAATATGCATTAGTTAATGCATATTGTGATAATGCTCATTGAAAATACAGTAATTTAAAATCAAAATGTTGATAAAAATTGATAAATTCCTCATTTTTTATTTCCTTATTTTTAGGACAGAATGTGCGAAAATTGATCAAAGATGGTTTGATTATCCGAAAGCCGGTGGTTGTTCACTCAAGAGCGAGGGTACGCAAGAATACAGAGGCACGCAGAAAGGGAAGGCATACTGGTTATGGTGAGTCACAGGTTAACTTAAATTGTGCTTGTTTTTTGGTAAAGATAAGTAAAAAGTTCATTATTGAACATATATTTTAATACACTAAACATGGAGAAGATTGGCTTAAATATATTATAAATTGTATTTCTGGAGAATGTTAAGTGGCAAATACAAGCCAAACCAGTCACTCATTGCTAAAATCAATTTTGAGTTATTAATACAGGGTTAAAGAGTAGAATAAGAGCTATACAATGGTAAAATCATTCAAATCTGACATTTCCATATGAAGTTACAAGCGCTTAAACATACAGAACAAAATATGAAAAATCAGCCTTCAAATTTTATGATTCCAGGCATTATGCAAAAACTATCATCAAATCCTTAAAAATAGTTGTTTTAACTTTGAAAATGGGGAAAATAACAGCATAACATGATGTATAGAATATAAAGCTTAGCTTAGTGCAATAAAATAGATTTTTAAAAGTTTGACATTCGAGCATGTTTTGGCCATTTTCCCTGGTACACGATTTGCGACGAGTGACTGGTTTGGCTTGTCTTTGCCACATATATGGGACATTTTTTTAGTTTTTTTTTTTTCATGGTGTACTATTGTTACTTTCCCATATGTACCTTCAAACAAAATAGTACTGTATTAGTTATTAAGGGTGAGGGATAAAATTAATACTTTAAAAATATCAGGTTGAGTTTTCTAATTTGTATATTCAAGTTTCACCAAATATTAAATGCCAGGGCTAATGTTGTCAATGTATCAAATCTTGTCTTTGCTTTTTTATTGTTTTATAGGTAAAAGGAAAGGTACTGCAAATGCTCGTATGCCAACCAAAGTAATCTGGGTCAGAAGAATGCGTGTACTGCGACGTCTTCTTAGAAAGTACCGAGAGAACAAGAAGATCGACCGCCATTTATACCACAAACTTTACCTAAAATCTAAAGGTAATGTGTTCAAGAACAAGAGGGTACTCATGGAATACATTCACAAGAAGAAGGCCGAAAATGCAAGAAGCAAACTCCTTTCGTAAGTGTTTAAAATTTAAATTTCGGTCCTAGTTTTTAGTGTAAGACAGGCCTGTTGTTAAATTTGTTGAGCGAACATTATTTTTGAAGAATTCGAAAGCTCTGTCCAGACTATCAAATTTTATTTGACAAAAACATGTGACATGCCTAAATATAATCAAGATGACATCACATCATGGCCATATATAGGCACATGACTATATATGGGCATACATCAGTTTTTGTTAAATATAATTGGACAGTGCTTGAGAGGAAGGCGTAAAAAACCTAAAAATACAAGTTTTTGGATTTATTCGGTGTAAACACCAAGGATAGCCCACGAAAGTCTAGAAGAAGAATTATTTTCAGTGGGGTCCTTCTGGTGGTGATTGGGCAGTACACCGGGAAACAATCCCCTACTCCTTTCCGAAGAGTGTACTGCGTTCTTTAACGTGCACATGGGCCATAATGCACACAGGACCAACGGCTTAAAGGTCTCATCCGAAAGACGGTGTGCTATTGTAACTTGTATTTCAGCCCTCTAGCTGAAACACAAGGAGAGGCAGCGATGGGAATTGAACCGGGGACCTAGAGATCTCCACGGTTCAGCGCACACACAGCGGCTACCACCAGATTAGCCGACTGAGCTAGCTGCTCTCTCTGCTATGTAGCAGATATTTCTGCCAATTATCATTTAAGTTGGGGACAAAATGAAAATATAAAGTACTGTAACACAGTGCGCCCTTAGGCCATTGCTACAGATCCTATCAAATACGATGATAAATGCTTAATATTGAATTGTGAGAAAGAAAATTATAGACTTCTTGGCAGCAGCATGCATTGTATATATAAAGAAAACAAATACTGTATTTGTATCTTAAATTTACTTTTTTTTTTTTGTGGTGGTAACTGTGCTAACAGGCCAAAAATATTAAAATGGGCAGTAGGTTTGCCAACAAGGTACTGTATGTAAAGTCTAGCCAGCAAAAAAAGCTTCTTAGCTAAAAACAGCATTGTTTTGCTGGCAATAATCGATTTGAAAGGGCAATCTTTAGGCTTCTAACTCCTGGTACCTGATCATAAGAGTGGAGGGGGTGGGTGGCTCAATTTTTATCTTTTAAAAAGTATGCTTTTCCTGTGAACCCCTACTTTCTTTGAAAAAGTATGCAATAAAATTACAGCAAGTTGAACTCACCTAAGCTGAATCCAAAATTGACTTGCAGATTGTTAATTAATGGAAAACAACAATTTGTCATGTAAAATAAGATTGACTTAGAAATTATTCGAGTTAGGCAAAGTCAACTTAAAATATTGTTGAAATAAATAAAATAAATATAATGCAATTATATGAGTTAGCATAATATAATTTACATTGCACACAAATGATATAAAATTTCTTATGTTTAGTATTAAGTGCACTAGTGTTTATAAAGTGTTTTTATGATTTTCATCACAGTGACCAAGCTGAAGCTAGGAGACTTAAGACGAAGGAGGCTCGTAAAAGGCGTGAAGCTCGTATTACACAAAAACGTGATGAATTGCTGAGCTCTTACTCAAAAGAAGATTAAAGCTATTAATCATCTGGCTTACCTTTCTGTACAACAAAAAAGTCACAATGCAGAAGCAAGGAATCTCAACAGGACAGTATATTGCTTACCTGTTACAAATGGATTATACTTCATTTCATGTGTTGCGCATGATTTTTCTTTGAAAAAAAAATTAAAATATAATTGTATCTGCAGGAAGTTTGTGAATGACTTTGTTTTTCTTTTGTGTCTTGATTATACAATTTGGATAGATTTTGATTTTAATGGAATTTTTTTGTTCACATGGTCATATTCATATGCTTGATTAAGGTGTTTAACACGTTGACTGCCAGACCTGTTTTTTTAAGGTTTCTTCTTGTGTGCCAAAACAAGGTTACATGTACAAACATACATTTTTGAATTTTTTTCTAGTCATATATCATCAAAATGATGTGTCTAAGAAATTGGTGGGAAAATATTGAAGAACGAGTAAACTCGTTGACAGTACTGTGATAGCACTTTTGATTGACTGTGCCAAGTGCGAGTTATCGCATCCGCTTTTGCCATGGATTGGTATATGTTCAAACGGCGCCCCACTTGAGCTGCTCGAGTGTACTAATGGCAACATAAACATACATACTGTACATCATTTGTACATCATCTTCTAGGTGTATCTTCCCCAAACTACCAGCCGTTGAGTCTGGTTTTACAATGTATAACAAAGAAGTAATAAATGCTAGAATGTTACCCCGATTTTGACGAGTATACGCGTCCCTGGCGCCCTGAGCAACACCTGGTGGAACGAGTATACTTGTCGCTGGCAGCAAACATGTTAATTAGAGTGTGGAAAATATGGATAAAAAAAATTGCAAGGAATTACAGAATGAGCATATTTTTTTAGCATGTGATCAGTGCCGTATCTAAGGGTGTGTGGTGATCCCCTAAAAAAGCTTGCACACAAGTTTTCGAAGCCCAAAAATCACACTCAAGTACTGTAGTTAAAGATCCCCTTATTTTCCGACCTACTTCCTCACTCATTCATCGAGCTACTCAACCTTCGTATCCACCATTTCAAGTCTGGATACGTCAGTGCATGTACAGTACCTGTAATAGACTTGACACTTTAATAAACAATACCAACACATTAACAACTACTGTACTACTGCTGCTGGTAGTAATAAATACAAAAAAACTATGAACGTCATATTAAATCTGTTAACAACACGGCGGAGCGTTTTTGAATGTTGGAGGGGGTGGGGCCATTTCATAAGGTAACAAGTCCAGTATGCGAGTGAAGCGAACATCTAGGCTGGGGCCAGGGGCCACCAATGGCCCTGGTTGGGGGTCTTCTGGAAGCTGATGGATATTTGACAAATTTGGTGAATTGTATTAGTTATTTTATAGGTATCAAGCTACTGTAATTTTGCTTCATAATTGTCATAGTCTGTATACAGTAATTGGCAACGGCAGCGGCGGAACGTTTTTGAAAGTTGGGGCCCCCCATTTCATAAGGTCCAGTATGCGAGCAAAGCGAGCTTCTAGGATGGGGGGGGAGCCGGCTGGGTCCCCTTGAATCCACCACTGGGTATCCACAGCAGATGGAGAATTTATACCACCTCCCACCATGGTTGGGGTAAGAAAATTTGTGATTATGGCACCTCTAGATGGCTGGAATTTACACTCTCGGACTTAAAATTTGAATATAATTTTCCGTATATCTCCATCAAAAAAAAAAAAAATTGAGCAATTTAGCCTCTCCCCCTGCCCCCCCCCCCCTCTTGAAAGCGCCACAGATTTCCGAACAAAGTCGAAGTTGAGATTGCTTCCACGATCTCAATAGATTAGGCCTATTTATCATGAGAGTTATCCTTGATATGGGGTCCCCGACGAAAACTTCACTTTTCCCCCGATGGATAAAAATTACCCTTCTATGTAGCCCGGCAATGATACGCCAACTGTGGCGGGTCCAGGAAGTCGAAATAGAGTGGTTCCAGGGAGGTTCTTGCGCAAATAGAATGTCTACCCACCTCAGCCCCACAATCATAAAAAATTATGATTATGGTCGGAAATGGCACTCTCGGATTAAAAATTGAATACAATTTTGTCTGTTTTCTCCATTTTTTTTTTTTTTTTTGAAAAAATAGGATGATGTGGTCCCGTGCTGACTGGGTTCCCCATTGAATCTGCCACTGTTCAATATAACACTTGACATAGCCTATCAATTTGTTTCACAAATGATTAATTGCTAATGTCAAGCGAAAGATTTTTTATTCAAAAGATTTTTTTTTTTACTCAATACAGTTTTTATTCTGTAGTTAACCTTCAGAGAACATTATTTTTAGAAAATGGCCTAATTAAATATCTTATTGTTTTCGTTAAATTAGATAGAGTTTAAATGTGTAAATATATTACGCTAGTTTTAAGGTTTACTGTATGCCAATCAGTTACACTTACTATACATCTTCGTGGTTAGCATAAAGAGAACTAGAATTTGTCGCTCCATTATTAGGAGTGTCTACCTCCCCCCATATGCCTAAATACAGAATTCACGAATGCAGGCGATTTTTTCTTCATGCTCGAGGGTGGGTTTCAAGGAAACTTTACAGACGCACGTATATACGCGTCGACGTCAATCAACATTTGGTTGCTCAACTCAAAAAGGGAACTTGTAATGTTCGTTAGAAAATGAAAAAAAAAAAATCTATATTTTATACTACTACTACTACTAATAATAATAATAATAGGTCAATTTATAAGGCGCAAAAACATGGTGTAAGCACCAAATAATAATAATAATAATAGGCCTAATAATAATAATAATAATAATAATGACATTGCAGCGTTCGTAAAATGTTGGTCACTGGTGTCGGGAAAAGTCACAAAAGCCCCCCCCCCCAGGCTTCCGCCGCCTTTGGTAATTGGTTAGTAAAATTAACATTTTGAGAAAGCTCCAGAGAAGGCAGCTGGCTTTGTGGGAGTCCAGCCAGGGATAGGAATATTCACACTAGAAGCTTCTGAATTTCAGCCATATTAACTACTGTATTTTAACTACTTATTAACTACTCTTGTTTAAACAACTTTATGCTTGGGGAGAGTATGTACCCCACTGCGGATCCAGTAAAAATCTGTGTAAGGGGCCTTGTGCGAAGCGAAGGAGAGGGTGTTACGTTGTATAGTTGATGTGCACGCAACTTCTACAGGCATCATTCAGCCTGTGCTTTCCAAGGGCGTCGATCCGTTGTGAAAAGTGGGGGTGTGGGAGGACGAATTGCAAATAAGGAAGTCTTTACGGATGGAGTGTAGACCAAACAGTCCCACCATGTTTGGGGCTGAGGTAAGAAAATTTATGGTTATGGCACTTTCAGACTTGTTCTCCACTTTTTTGCAATAACACAAAGCAAAACAGGGAGTTTGGAGTTGATAATGCTGTACAATTTCTAATTGACTCCTACTATAGGTTTGTGACCCGTGCTCTGATAGAAACCCACCATAACCGTCTATCAGTAAAAGTCACCGGCTAACCTGATAGTCACCCAGTGAGTATTCGTTAGATTAATCAATTTTTCACTATACATGATAACGCAAAAATTATTTTGTTCGGGTTTATAATGGCTACAGCTCAGGGGGTGGATTTATCAAAAATCATCTTAAATTCGTCTTAAATCCATAAATCCCAGGCCAGGTCTTTTAAGATACAGAAATATGATATATTGTTCAGTTTTTTTTTTTTTTTTTTTTTTTTTATTAAAAGTGTCTATTCTGGTAATCTAGAGGTACTATTTCCTCAAATTTTTGCACCTCAGCCCCAACCTTACCAAATGTCCCCCTCCACCTTTCAATATAGAACTGCACCCTTCCCTGAGTATGACATTAAACTCCATTGAGTCGGCACCTAACTCAGATTATGGCTTGGTGACTGCAGGCGAGGGTGCATAAATTTGTTTTTAGGATGTGATCGGTTTTTCATGCCCCATTTTCATGATTATGACTACAGTATTTTGGATAAAGAATGTTTTGAGCAGTGGTGGATTCAAGGACCCCCACCCCTAATTTTTTTTAATGGAAAAAAAGAAAATTATATTCAAATTTAAGTCTGAGAGTATAATTTCCGGCCATCTAAAGGTGCCCTAATCATAAATTTTCTTACCTCAGCCCCAACCATGGTGGGGCTGAGGTGGGTGGTTCCTTATTCTCTGAAATCCCTCCCTTGGTCACCTCTCTTTCGAATTTCTAAATCTGCCACTTTTCAGTTATTATTGTTAGCTTTACTAATATTTATGATGTGTCTATTTTTCACTTTATCCTCTCAAAACAGTCCTAAAAACGTTCAGAGTGCGATTCCCCTAGACCCCAGCCGTAGGGAGAGGATACCTCACCCCCACTCGGTACTAGGTACCCCGCATAACGGCTCCACCCTTTCAAAATCCTGGCTACGTCCCTGATGGCGAGATTGCGTCAAGTAACATCGGAGTTCGTAAACTTGTGTGGTATCACACTTAAATAAGTCTAAATAGACAGACCTATCCGTGTCCAAGCTGTATAATTATTGTTTAATAACGCCTATATAATAACATTCAATTGACTATCTATATTTTTTTTAATTAGGAAAAACAGGAATCTATGTATGCAGATAATATTGAATACTAGTATATACGAGCCTCAATACCATACAAAACGAATAAATCGTTTATAGCAGAAATTGTACACTTTTGAGTTTGTAAAAATGTTGGCCTAATTGGTTTACACGCTTTCAACTTTAACAACGTGCAGTACATTGTTTTCATTAGCAGCTGATAACCGCTGCACCCATAAAACGGATGGAGTGGTTACTGAGATGGTTACGAACTGTACAAACAATTGCGTTTTTACTCAGTATTAGTCCGGAAATACGCACCGCACTTGGAACAGAGCACAGGTGATGTTGTTTCCACTCGCTTTGAAATGTGGGGTGTAAACTATAAAAGGTTGGTGAAAAGTGGGAGGGAGAGTTGATATGATGTCCCCTACTTTGAACTTTTTTGGGGGGGGGGTGTGGACGTGTCCCCCCCCGATCGACCCCATGTCGCTTTCAATATCATTTTTTTTCCTTTTTCGCCTCTTCCTCCTTTTATTTATTTTCCTTTCATTAAGGGGAGGCCAGCTCTAGCCCCTCCGGTCCGCCCCTGTACCCTTTTGCCACCATTTGGTTGAATGCCCACGACCCGCCTTTTTTGGAATAACATGCTGTTAGGTAATACCATGGACCTATAATAAGTCCATGGTAACACTGTACGCGATTCATTATTGTTATCTCTTTCGTTATGTACCACCGCTGAATTTAAATTTTCATCACGTAACACGAATGACGTAATGCGGGGAATTCCCAAGAAAGGCTGGCACCGTTCTAGTGGTGGTTCTAGTTATTTCAAATTTATTTTGTAAGTGGCTGTAACATGCATTTTTTGCAGAAAAATTATGAATTTACAGTAATTTTCTTTGTAAAATAACAAATTTATTTAAAAAATCAACTTTCGACGTATTTGAATGCAATGACGACCATGTTAGCAGAGTTGCATTTCGTGGATGAGTAATGCGTACTATTAGTATTACGAAATGTCAATTTTGGAAAATCCCGTTTTTCCAGAATACATATTAGGTCCACAGACAGAGAGTGACTGTCCATTTTGGAAGACAAGCAATTTATTTTAAATATGTACTGATTTCGTGTAGGCTTGAAATCTTCTATTCTGACCTGCTAAATTTTAGTATGCCGAAAAAAGGGGGAAAGCGACGAGGTCGCGGCGGCGGTGGTCGTGGATCGGACGGAGGTAAGGAATAATAAAATAAATAGGTCTAGGCCTACAGTTAAAAAATGTCAAGGCGTCTGAGTGATACATCACATTGAATCATCTCATAGGCTAAATTTTCTTACCTCAGCCCCAAATATGGTTGGGGCGGGGGGGGTGGGAGGCAGCTGGTGGACAGATCTTTCATCTATGAACAGTGGGCTTAAGGGGTATGAGGCCCCATGGGCAGGGGCCGTTTAAGGGCCCAGAAGCTGGGGGATCTTTGGTGGGCGTCTGCGGTTTTTCTTGCGTTCTATGGACTGGTATTTTAATGCCTCAACACATTGAAATTGTATGTTTAGGCCTATGTGATTTTTACCCAGGAACAAAACAAAACAAAAAAAAAAAAAAACAAAAAAACAAAAACCTGCCGGCTCTTAATTTTAAGATATCACTAATAAACATATAAACAATAAATACAAAAAAACAAAAACAAAAACAAAAAACAAAACAAAACAAAACAAAAAAATACAAAACAAAAAAAACAAAACAAAACAAAAACCGGGCCAATTGAAATCAATATGTAGCCTGTGGCCATTTATTTAAACAAAACGTAGACTAGCGATAGTGATAATAAAAATATGCTATTTGGAAAAGGACCTTGGTTGGTTGTTTGTAAAAAAAATTATTTGAATTTGATGGGTCCCTTGCTCACGGGACCCCTAGCCAGTGAGAGCTCATAGCCGATTCCCACACAGACTCTACTTGCACAAATTGACTTGTAAAGCACAGTGGAGCACGTTTGCACAGCACAGGACTCCTTGGATAAGTTTTGGCGTTTTATGGAGGAAGATTTTCAAGATTCAAGAAACACCCGATCCATGGGTTAAACAGATGCACTTTTCCTACTATGAATGTTCTGAAAACGTGAGTGCCTAGTCAATTAATTTTTATTTTCATTCTTTTAATGGCGATAAAAAAAACGGCTCAAGAAAATGTTCAAAATGTTGGAGCAGGGAATTCCCCCAGCCCTCAGGGGAAATTTACTGCAGTGCACTGTTGTCAACAAAGTCTACGAACCAGAAACCACATAACATACCGCATGACAAAACCACATAAACTTCATGACCAAACCACATAATTCATACACTTTAACATTAACCGCCGAAGATACTAACAGAGCGGCGTTCCATAACACGGCCAATGATTACCTTGACGTCCATGTTTCGCGAGTTGAATTACTGTTTGTGTGCCGCAGTGCTGCATGCTGTCCGATAAAAGAAAGTGCTGCCAGGCTAAAGACTAGGCCTAGGCCTACTGAATATATATTAAATACATAGCCGTAGGCCTATGCCTCAAACATCAGCAATGAATGGAATATTTTAGAAATCGATCAGGTAAAAATACAAGGCACATTAGGACTAGGCTAGGCCCTAGCCTAGGCTATCTAGGCCTTGGCTAGCCTAGCTAGGCCCTAGGCCTATAGTATGTTACGCATGGGAACAAGAGGCCTACTACTATTTAGGCCCTGGGGCCTAATAATTTCGGCTAGGCTAGGCGTAGCTAGGCCTGACACAAGGCAGTTAAAGCAACGGAACTTGCATTACTGGAACATCATTATTCAGGCCTGTACACTGGGGAGGGGGGTGCACCCACCCAAATTACCAAAGGTCCACATTTTCAGGGGTAGAAAATTATTATAGACACAATCTCCCACGTTCCAGATATCGATCCACCAAAACTCCTTGAACAATCAGAGCAGTTTCCAACCAATTAAGACTACCTCAAATTTGTCATAGAATTTTCGAAGAATTTTAGTGCTTGCGTCCGTGACTCATCACCGCTTACAAACTCATCTTTCTAGATTTTACTAAAATTATCTTTATTCTCGTTAAAATCTGAGAGTGCCATTTCCGGCCACGTAGAGGTGGCATAATCATAAATTTTCTTGCCTCAGCACCAACCATGGTGGGGCTGAGGTGTTATCAACTCCCATCTGTGAAAGTCCTTCTCTGACCTCCTCTATTTTGAATTCTTGGATCCACCACTGATTACAATTAAGTTGCGAATGTGCAAGCGCTTTACGAAGATCACACACCTACCTGTAGCGCTCATTTATTTGCCTCAAAACAACAACAAATGGATTAATTGTTTCCTCTACCTGTTCCCAATAAGATCAGTATTACTATAGGCTTATTTTATGCATTCTTGTTGGATATATTTTTTCTACCCATCTCATCCGCGAGTCTTAGAGTGCCATTTCCGGTCATCTAGGGGTATCATAATTATAAATTTTCTTACCTCTGTGAAAATCCCTCCCCCCCACTGCTCATTTTCTGGATCTGTCACTGAAAAACCATTTAATACTGTTGATATTGCATCTTCAAAATCAAGACTTCAAATTATCAAAAATATCTGAGCGCAAGGTGGCTCCGCCCAATGCACCCCAGCAGGAATCTGCGTAAACCTGTCATTTTGGTCCACTCTCCACAAATTTACACCCACCCAATAAAAATCTTGTGTAAGGGCCTGTTGTTATTAGTTTAGTTAGTTAATATTAACAATTTATAGGTCAAGGTGACATCATCGCTTTTATATGCACTGAATTTTCTTATTCCCGACTGTTCACTTATAAATAGGCCTAGTAACCATAACATCCTCAATGATTGCCTCCTCAACTTCAAATAACATTCAACCAGTGGCAGACTGTCAAGGCAAGCAAGGAGTGCTATGCATGCACTGCTACAACTAAAAGAAAATACTAAATTATTGGAGCTTTTCTCCGTTTTATTTAACATTTCTTAGCCACAATCTTCTATGCCAGCCTTAATTTTTCGAGTAGATTGCTACAGTTCATTAGAATAGCTAAGTTAATATTGTTAGTTTTTTAAATTTTTGGCCTACTTTGCCTTGGTATCTAGGAAACTTGAACTACTCGAGCCTATCGCATCGTCCTCTTGTCTGCTTAGAATTTCTGCAGTCGTGGCTGGTTTTCAATATCAGCCTATCACATATTCAGTGAGGCAGTGAACAGTGAAAGTGAGAGCAGAAACAGGTCAACTCGGCCCCAAGTCAACTCGGCCCCAGTCAACTTGGCCCCAAGTCAACTCGGCCTCATGTCAACTCAGCCACTACAGATGGTAAAACTTCCTATTCTGCCAACCGCATGGTGGCCTTGGATTGGATTGCATTTATTCGGTGTAAACACCAAGGATAGCCCACGAAAGTCTAGAAGAAGACTTATTTCCAGTGGGGTCCTTTTGGTGGTGATTGGACAGTACACCGGGAGACAATCCCCTACTCTTTTCCGAAGAGTGTACTGCATTGTTTAACGTGCACATGGGCCATAAATGCACACGGGACCAACGGCTTAAAAGTCTCATATAAGACGGTGTGCTATTGTAACTTGTATTCAGCCCTCTAGCTTACACAAGGAGAGGCAGTGATAGAATAGAACCAGGGACCTAGAGATCTCCACGGTTCAGTGCACACACAGTGGCTACCACCAGATTAGCCGACTGAGCTAAGCTGCTCTCCTTTAGAATAGCAAATTGAACACTGGAGTGGAACCGTGCTGGCAAGATTATGTGCGCATGTTCCCCTACTCATTGCTTGCTTCTCTACAGTAGCTATATAATCGGGACCTCCGCTGCCAATCAGGGTATTTTTTAAATTTTTATTTTGCATACATACGACCGGTATAGAAGAAACTTGTATTATTTATTTGTTAAATGTACAGGGAAAGGAATTCTTTTGAAGAGAGGAAACTGTGCTAGCCATGCTTCTATCAAATTATATTCCAGTTGTAATCAGTGTAATGATAATTTTAATGATAATGATTTTATTTGTAATAATAATATTTTATTTATAGATTTTAAGTGCTTTACAAAATATTTTGATATTTCTGTTACACTGTTTCTTTGGTTCCCAGACAGATGAGCTTTGCTTTCTTTTGAGAAATCCTACCAGGTACTGCTGAGTTGTTTTGTATTTTTATGTTTGTTGATGCAGTCCTGGGTTGTAGGCTAGTGAACCTTTCTCACTAGCATTCCCTAGAATACCCTGCAATTTACCATACGGTATACATTTAACAGTGCCTCGCCACCTTTTCCCTACTCATTTAACACTGTGCGGAGCACTGGTGCATGCTAGTATAAAGTGATTAGTAGAGCTGCGCATAAGCTATAAGCTAGCAGAAAATTATTGTACGAAGGTTAGATTTAAAGTGAAATTTTTAATTTTTCATACTTAATATTGAATTTGAAGTAATTTCTTCGGGGTCTAATCAGCCTTGTTTTACGAAAATTATTTTTCAAATACTTTTCTGATTTTTATTTAGTAGGTTTTATAATGGTTGAATATCGTGTAAACAACTAAATCATATGTTTAATATGTATCATGGCATTTGCTCCAAATTATATGCTTAATGATTTTAGAAAGGTTTCCAGTAGACACTCACATTCAGGGAACAGTGAAATTACATGGTTTCCTGCTCACATTTTACAAGGGGAAGCATTTCTGACTCAGAAATCAAGTACAGAAAAACCACTTATATTTCTACCACTATTTGCTATAAGAGTATAAATTTATGGAATAGCTTTACCCACACGTACGGTATCAAGGCCATTGGTGTCTAAAATGTTTTTATAACAAATTAAACTTGTTTTATATTAAGATGCATGGTTTTGTTCCCTTTTTTTGCTTTCTGTTTTTGGTGTAAATGTATATATTATTTATTTATTTATTTATTATTATTTATTTGATTTTTTTTTGTGCGGACAGCCTTTATGTCTTGTTGCGGAATTGTAATTGCATACGGATTCCAACAGAGTGTTTATTATTATCCTTTTTCTTTAAAAAAAATAATTATTATATAATTGTCATGTACATACATGCATTTTATTAACTTTATACACTGTTTACAGGTCGAGGGAAAACGACATCTGAAGAACAACCAACAGTTGGTAAACCAAAGTCTAGCCATGACCCACCGCCAGTACCCTCTGGAGTATCAGAAAAAAGGGAGACAAGCCCAGCCCACCCTCAGCCTATTGCCAGTCCTCCAGAACCTTCACGCTCTCAAGTTAAACAATTAGAAGAAGATTTTCCAACACTTTCACTGGCAGCAACACAAGTGCAAAAACCAGCCTCAACTAGTCCTGGGTACCCAAGTGGTGCAAGACCTAAGGAACATAAGCAGAGACCTGAAGAAAAAGTCCCCCCAGCACCTGAACCAGCAACACCTCCAGTAGTTAGTAGTGGTCCAATTGCAAGTAGGCCTAGTACACAAGGTAAACAAGTCCACAATCATGATAGTGTGTTATTGATCATTTGTGTTGGGGTAGTACCCAGGATTCCCCATTAAATTTTCATAAAGCCCAGTTAACAGAAATATAATGTATTCAGCAATTTAACTGCAATGGATAACTGTGCTTGTCCAACTGGCATGTGAATTAATGATTTGTAGGCACTGAAATTAAAATTAACTATCATTTATATTTGCACAGCTCTAACAATTCCAAAGAGACGAGGATATGGTACCAAAGGGCGACCCATAGACCTTTACAGCAATCACTTCAAAGTCAAGTTTTCTAATATAACAATATTTCAGTATGATATGACCACTGTACCTGAGAAACTGCCAAAGAAAAAACTAAGGTAAGTTAATTTTGCATTCCTTGTAATTGCATATCTCATTGCATTGTTGTTTGTACATAAAATGCCAGTGCAACAGGTGCAGGATTTAATATTGGATAATTAGGGAATACTGTATTCCTACAGTAGTTTTGAAGTAAATTCAGCACCTAGATTTGTACATTCTTCATTAGACAGAAGTGGTGCCAGCAAAGCCTAGGCCCAGTCATTGTGGGGGCCATGGTAAAATTTGTTTGGGAAAAATGAAACATGGTAGGGCTGAGGTGAGTGTGGTCTTGCCACCCTGACATTAACATTCATCACAGGTGTGGTCCAACTTGGTTTTAAGTGCCTTGCAGAAAGCAAAAGCTTTGACGCAAACTCACAACTCTCTGGTTGCCAAAAGCTTCAAGGCTTTGGATTAAACCGCACTATCACATAGTTAATTCACTGGTTAATTCAGAATATGTATTGAAGTTGCCGCTGCAACCCCATTTCCCAGCATCACCTCCTTGTGACACCCCTCCCTGGGTAATTATTAATAAAAGCCAAGTGTTGTTTTTTTTTTATATTGCACAGGGATGTCTTTGAAGAGATGCAACAAACTAATAAGCAGGTTTTCCATGTTAGATGCATTTTTGATAGTCGCAAATGTATGTACAGTCCAGAAGAACTGAGGCTACCTGGAAATCAAGTAAATTTTTTATAAACTTTAACCTTTAACATTTAAAATCATTGTTATAGAATAAATACAAATACACATTCCAATAAGCCAATTTGTAGTTAGAACTGCACATGCTCGTACCAAGGTCAATCGACATAAGGGAGCTATCGATTGCCCGAAGACGGTAGGACGTAGAACGTAATGACGTCACTAAAAGTCATCTGCACATGCGAGAACGTTATGGTCACCTTGTCGAGTAGTTTCTGGAACGCAATTTGGCCAAATCTACGTATGCAGAGAACGTAGGACAGCGGGTAGGACGGTCACGCATGAGTGATTACGTTCTAGCATCGCGTCCTCGCACAAATCAAAAGCTCCTTATGTATATACATTGGCCATATCTTTTTTCCATATTTATTTTGGTTGTTTTTTGCTTTTCTTGTTATATTTTTTATGTTTGTATATATTTTTGCATCTGTATTTACTGAAATGATTACACCCGGTCCCAAACAAAATTTCTGTATTTTGGACAATAAAATAATCTTAAATCTTCAATCTTAACATTGGTATGGAGAAACACCTTCACTGGTCATATTAAAGATGATAGTAAATTTTTTTTTCTTTAATATTATTATCATCTTACTGTATATTATAAGTGTTTTCTGATGTCTTTCTTTTTCATTTGCTAATAACAGCTAGAATTAAATGTTCAGGTGCAATATGAAGGCAGTAAGCCTTTGAATGTGAAAGTGACAATAAAGAAGGTGTCTACAATCAACCTTGAAGAGCTTAATCAGTACCTTAGAGGAACTATGAACTTTACTCCATATGTTGCATTTCAAGCCATGGATACTATTATGAGATATGGGCCTGCAATGAGGTAAGACATTTTTATTCTCTTTTCTCTTAATTGCAAAAACATATACTGTAAATTAAAATAAGTAATTCCACAGCTGGAATTACAATAAATCCAGAGAATGACACCCATCCATTACCAAAACAAAAATAACCTAAATTCCATAAACTGTACAAAATTTCTAAAAAATCTAGTTCTAGTAACAAATACTTAAAATTAATAAATTATAAGAAGTTTCTCATAAATATGACAAAAAAAAACTATCGTTGCTCTATGTGTGTTTATTAGCTGAAGGGCTAAAATGTATGTATAGTTTATCACATTTACTCTCTTCTCGTGTTAAATATGGGCCATATTATACAGTGAACTCTTTGGAAAAGCTTGTTGGAAAAGAAACAGGGTCCCAAGTTTTTCACAACTCACAGGAGTCCCCCGGAATTCATAAAGGCATCATCCCGCTCTCTCGCAAGTTACTACTGTAACTGTACTATCAATTGTCTCCCAGAAGTCAGTGTCAATGGGTATCACCATACACAGCAAAATATAATTAGATGGTGTTAAGAAAACTCATTTAAACAGATCTCCCGGATGTGGATTCTTCCAACTTGAGACCCCTACATTAAAGAGCCGCCCATAGGTAGACTATTTCTACTGTCAATATATTTGTCTCCATACAGCTTTTTTTCCCCATAAATTCACTTAGATTTAGATCGTGATACCCCAAAATGAACAGCTGTGAACTTGGTGCAATTTCAAAGCATGGTAAAAGGATGCAATAAAAAAAAAAAGAAATACAGTTTTTAGAAATGATATAATATAAACTCATAATTACTATAAACATAAACCTTTAAAAAGTATTTGTTAGCACAGGGTCAAGTATATCATGCAAATAATGAACTTAATCCTTTTAATAAGTGGAAATCCTTTCACAAAGCAACCATACAGGATGCTCTTTTACTAATTCTCATTATGAAGTGGAGTTGGATAGCTCAGTGGTTAAGTTGTTTGCCTTCTGATCCCAGGATGCTGGGTTCAATTCCTGTCTGAGCAGGACTTTTTCTCACGACTAAAAACTATCCCACTCCCTAAGCCTCATAAAGAGACTTGGTTTATAAAGCATCATTCTCATCCTGTAAGTGGCGAGTGTACTTCCTGTTAGATGTGAAGGAAAAATAAAAAATAAAAAAAATAAATAAAAAGTTTTAGGGACAGACAGGGGTTGTTTTTGGTAAGGAATTGAACCAAGGATTCTGAATTGGAAGGCAGTCATCTTAACCACCAAGATACAGCCTGACTTGAAACCTATACTATGAACAATTTATTTTCTCATCTGAATTTTAGGTTCACACCAGTTGGACGATCATTATTTTGTGAACCACGCCATGATCAGGCCCGAGACTTTAACCTTGGAGGTGGACTAGAACTACATAAGGGATTCTTTCAGAGTATGAGACCATCCTCATGGAAAGACTACAAGATGAGTGTCAACATTGATGGTATGGGCTATGCTTGCAAATTATTATCATACATGATTATCATGATCCATGATTATGACATCATTAATGTCAACTCTTGATGACATCATCAAAGGCCAACAGTTATTTTGCTACATCATTTACAATCTTTAGCATAGCATTTCACACCATCAATGGTGTATCTAGGATTCTTGAAATGGAGGAGTGATGGGGACGTGAAGGTGAAGTGGGGGCTCGATGATCAGGTGAGGGGGTACTAGCTCGTAAAATATGGCCATTTGAGGTGATTGTAAACTACTCAAGCTTGATTTCTGGGGTGGGGGAGGGGCGCTACTGCACATCATCATACCTTACAATAATTTGACCATATTAAACCATATTAAACCATATTAAATTTATGAGAATATAAATGTAGATTAACATTCAATTGAGCACCAACTTATGCTTTCATATTTCTAAATTTCCTATCAAACTCTCTGTTGTATACATGTATTTAATTCTACATCAAACATTTTTCATTTTTGTATAGTGTCATTCTGGCTCAAATAAACCACCATGCCCATGTGACCCCCCCCCCCTTCCTTGGATTTTCAGGAAAATCCAAAGAGACCAAGTTATGACATTTTGAAATTTAGGTACCATGTTCCTTTTTTTATGCCGGAGATGGCTCCTTTAACTTTATACGGTTTTTACAAAGCTCTCTGGAAACAAGCTTTGTAAACAAAGAACAAAGATGTAAACTCTGGAACAAAGATGAAAGTTGAAAATTGCTACATAAACTGAAATTTGGCCCCTCTTTAAAGAAATACCATTTCACTTGACTCGCATAAATAATTTTGTTCAAAGAACATAAGTTGAGGTCAAAGGTAAAAAACGCAATTTCCGGTAATTTCTAGAGAAAATTGTCCATTATAGTAAATATAAATATGCATGTTTTAAACATTTTGCTGCAAAAAGCAACTCTGTACGACCAGTGGTTTTCAAGATATAGCTCCCTATATTTCCACCCCTAATTTGCATATTTATGCTAATAAGGTCGGCAAAATGGCACTTCCGGTCATTTTTGAAGAAAATGTTCTATTAGGGTAAATAGAAACATGCATGTTTAGAACAACTTTAAGAAAGAAGCAACTTTCTACGACATGTGGTTACCAAGATATAAGTACCCTACATTTTCAGACCTAATTTGCATATTTCAGCTAATTTGCATATGAAGATGAGCGTAAAAAATTGGCGACTCATTTTATTCAATTCAGCATACTTCAAAGTATATAATTTAAAAAAAAAACAAAATGATCACAAAATTCCCATGGGGTGACATAAGCCACCGGACTAGTACATAAATTTCAAAATGTCTTAACTTAAAAACCGCTTGGAAATTGGAGCTGAAATTTTGGATTTTTTCTTTTGACCTATCAAAGTATTTTTAGAATTTTTTACCTACACGTCTTAAACATGAAATCCAACTACTGTTTTTTTTTTTTCAGAAATCAGAAATATAATATTTGTACATCATAAAACACCTAAAAAATTATAATAAAATATTTATTCACTATGTAGAGTGGCAATACTACCACAATTTATACCTTATATATGATTTTATCTGTTTCTAACCTAATTTATTTACTTATATATATATAAGTATATATATATGTGTATATTTATATATAATGACAGATTGTATTCCTTAATAGAATTAAATGAATTGAATTTATTCTTCCAGTTTCTAACACTGCATTTTACAAGCCTGGTCCAGTTTTAGAATTCATGGTTGAGGTGCTAGGTCTGAGAAGAGATTCCGTTGGTAATCCTCTAAAAGATTTTCAAAGAAAACAATTCGAAAAAGTTATCAAAGGTAAATAGGTATTTTATATATATTAGAAATATTTCGACATTTAAAATAAACTGATACTGATGATTGTATTGGTTCCCTTTTTCTATAGTATATGAATCATAAGTATTTCATTGTATTGTTTCATTTCTGTATGGTATGGAAATAAAGTTTATGAAAGAAGATATGTTGGTTTTTGTACGATAAAGTATCTTACTTTGAGATGATGAGGTTTTAGCTAGAAGTTCAACAAGAATGAAGTCTTGCTTTTACCTTTCTTTCATTCCATTCATTTAGTATAGAACTATTCTTTGACTTTTTTACATTTTCTTTATATTCATTTAAAATCAACCACATCGCAAACTTACGGCTGAATTGCACGATATTTGCAGTAAAATCAAAAACCAGATGTTTCAAAATTTATTTAATTATAAAAAATTACATGGAAAAAATATGACTAGACAGATGATATTACACTGATTTATAATTTGAATATCGTTTCATCAAGTACCTGGTGACATGCAAAAACTGTTTATTTTCTCTTAAAGGACTGCAAATTGAAGTGCGTCGAGAACCATCATACAAACGCAAGTTTAGAGTCATTGGGGTCACAGAAAGGCCGGCCGAAAGGTTGACGTAAGTTCTGGAGGCTTAAGACCCATTTTATAATTTTTTTTTTGTTAAAAGGTATACACATGAAGTTTACACATGATATATTGTCTAGTGTACAAGTGCACATAATATCAACTTGTATTTAAATCAATTTAGTGATATTGTTATTGTTGATAGTAATTGTTATTGTCGTGATGGAATAATAGACAATAACTGGATTGTTATTGTTATCCATTTTTCTTGGAAGGATTTCTTTGAATTATCTTACATCTTGAACCCTTTCCCTACTAATATTCTTACTTCTTTTCATGAAATAAGGACTCCCATTTTCACTGAGATAATCAACGCATCTTTATCGTCTGGAAACTTTCCGGACGATTTAAAGATAGGTGTGGTCATACCACTTTTGAAAAAACCGTCCTTAGATCCAAATATCATGTCTAATTTTCGTCCTGTGTCAAACATTGCATTTCTTTCTAAACTTATTGAAAAATGTGTTTCTTCTGATGTAGTTAATTATCTCGAGGACAATAGTTTATTCGATCCTCTTCAATCCGCATATAGGAAGCATCATAGCACGGAGTCCGCAATCCTGCTCATCATGCTCGCACTCGATAAAGGCAACTGTGTCTTGTCAATATTTCTAGACCTGTCTGCAGCGTTCGATACTATTGACCATTCCATTCTTCTCCAGAGGCTTGCATCCCTAGGAATTTGTGATACTTTATGGTCTTCCTCAAAGGCATATAAGGAAGCTGCAACTTCTTTTGAATATGGCTGCACGTCTTGTGTCAGGAGTTTCTAGATTTGAGCATATAACACCTACAGTACTCTTCGTCGCCTGCGCTGGTTACCTGTTAAGCAATGCATCTCATTTAAATTGTTGCTTTTCACATATAAATCATTAAATAATAATTCACCCTCATACATATCCAACCTGATTAAACTTCTTTCCACCACTTGTTCTAGAGCTTTAATATCTACATCTAGTTCATCTACATTTTTCATCCCTTCATGTCGTACAAGAACGTATGGTGAAAGAGCATTTTCCGTTGCTGCTCCCAAGGTGTGGAATAGCTTGCCTATCTTTGTTCGTGAGTCTCCTTCTGTTGAGATATTTAAAAATCGTCTGAAGACTCATCTCTTTAGTTTATTTTAATTTGCAAATTTCTAGCGCATAGAGACCTATGTATTTTGCGCTTTACAAATCCAAATTATTATTATTATTATTATCCTTTAGCTACAATATTTTTACATTGATTGTTCAAAGTGATCTTTCCATGAATAGTCAAATCAAAGTACGCTCTGACATTAGAAACCCTAATTTCATCTTCATTAACCATTTTGGTAGAATGTAGTCTTATGTGTATGTCAACTGAAGTCAAGTCGTGTTTGTGGTGCATATAATTTTGTATTATACATAATAACAGTGCATAATTGTTAGATTTTCATTCCCTTTCATAGATTTCCACTAACAGATGAAAAAGGGAGAACATCTGAGTGTGTAGTTGCTAGATACTTTTTTGATAGGTACAACATTCGTCTTAGGTGAGTAAATTTATTTTCAGACATTTAGACAAAATTCAACTAGTGAATGATTTAGTTTAGTTTTTAAAATATGATGGGAACATTTGTTTCCAGTGGTGTCCTTTTTGTGGTGAATTGGGCAATATACATAAGATAATCCCCTACTCTTTTCCGAAGAGTGTACTGCGTTATTTAATGTGCACATGGGCCATATTGCACATAGGAATAATGGTTTTAAACGTCTCATCCAAAAGATGGTGTGCTATCGTAACTTTTATTTCAGCCCTCCAGTTAAACAAGAGCGACTGCTCACCTATCAGCGCGTTAAACTGAGGTTGCCTCTATTCAGCGTTTAACACTTCGTGTATGCACCTTTCAGAGTCTTTTTGTTGACACCATTAAAACATGCTCAATTCATGGAGGAAATATCCTCCATGCTTACATGCAGCACACAGTGACGTAAGTTATTATAGGGTTCAAAATACAAATACATAAAATAAAAATAAAATGTCTTAAAATAAAAAAATTTAAAATTAAATACCAAGACGCAATTCGAACTCACAATCTTTGGTTTCCATATTCCCTTGCGACGTGTCCTGTTAGTATTATGGCAGTAATGTACAGTCCTTGCTGAAACCCCTGTTTTTGTTTTGTAGGTGTAGGGGGTGCCCTGGGGTCAAACTTTTAAAAAGGGCTATGAACATTTGTTGGAAATAACCTCTAGTTCATATGTGCAAAATTTCCTGCACATCCGTTCAAAACTGGCAACGCTGGATGCTTTTAAAGTTCTGGGGTCCACCTTGTGCCGACCCAAATGCAAGGAGAGCAGTAGATGTAATTTAATGACTAAATATCTCAAATTTTTTCAGGTATTCAAGATTACCATGCTTGCATGTTGGTGATCCAGCCAAGAAGACATACATCCCCATTGAGGTACAGAAACAACTTACTTTTATTGCATTTATTTGAGTTTTACAATTATTTTGCTTTCAAGTGTTTACTTACCTTTATTATATCAGTGTCATACCTCCAGAGTCTGCAACAGGGGAAGTTGACCTTTTTAATCATATTGAGATACACTGAAAACAAGAAACTAAGCACCTTCTATTAAAATGTTTATTGTAAAAAGGATACAATGACACAAAGATACAACAGGATTTTATTATTAAATGTAATGTAATTTTTTCTCAATGTATTAGTTTCTTTTATGTTTCTAAGCTTTGACTTTTTATTATATAATCCTTTATTACTCTTATCCTGGATTTTATAAACTGTTTTGTTTATAGATGTGCCATATTGTCCCAAACCAACATTGTAGGAGAAAGTTGACTCCTATGCAAACATCAAATATATATATATTTGTTAATTAATTTGTGTCATTGCTGGGTGGAACATCCCTTGGAGGTGATTATGTTCGCCGTAGACGTGCCCTGGGGCAGCATTGTGACATTTTAGTTGGTTTTGTGTGTTTGCCTTTTGCTTGTATGTTGTTCTTTTTTCAGGAATTAATTTAATTTCATTCAATTAGCTATTTCTTTGTACTAAGAATAATTGTTACCTTACTTTGAGCCATTCATACTTTTGCAACATACCACAAAATTCATGAGTGAGAAGAATAGAATTTTACACTGTTTAGTTTTGTATCTATTACTCCACAGAAAACAGCAATACCAGCCCCTGATAGGCTTCGAGAGATTCAGAACTGGGTAATTATATTTTTTAATAATTTGTGTTTGTCAACGTTAGCAACAAAAATGACAACTATGATTGTAGTTTAATTTTAGTTTATTGTGTTTAATTTTGATATAATGAGAAATTTTTCATTAGTTTAATAATAATATTTATATTATAACCTTATATTAATTTGTTGTGTTACAATAATTATTTTTAAGACAAGAGAAGCTGCCCATCATACAGATCCAAATCTGAAAGCATTTGGCATCTCAATTAACCCCAATTTGGTGAAGACCCCCGGGCGAGTACTACCACCACCGGCAATCAAATACAGAGAAGAGGTGTGTTGCATATATCATTATTTCTTCATTGAATATCTTTATCCATTTTTTGTTACAAATTTGAAAAGTATGGTGTCTAAAGGCAATAGAATTAAATGTTGAAATTGTTTACTTTGTTAAATAAGTTGTTAATAGCTTTCAGATGAAATTTGAAAAAGGATACAAATGTAGTATATCATTCCTATGTCCTTTGTATAGTCCTTAAATTGGTTGTACATGTAATCAATTTAGAATTTTCGTTACAGTCTGGAAACCAGCAATACATTATTAATTGATTTTTTCAAAGAATTTTCCAAATGTGTGTGCGTTTATTCAGTGGTGTATGCAAAATTTGGGGCACTGGGCATAAAGGAAGTTGGAGGCCCTGTGTAATTACTGTTTATATATTTTTGTTTATTATGTTTTTTTGTTTAGTTGAGGCCCGAGGGCTCTGGTGTTCCCTCCCTGTCCACCCCTAAATTTGACCCCATTACTTTTAATGTAGCTTCCCAGTTGCCTTACCTTACCTATCCTCTTCAGGCCAAGTGGCCCATAAGGCTGAAGCACACTCTTTCCAACCTGCCCTGTCACTTGCAACATATCTGGCCTCATTCCATGATTTCTTTCCAAAACACTCTCTTTTCTTTTTAACAGTCCTCCACCATGTTGTTTTAGGGCGACCAACTCTTCTTTTCCCTTCAGGTTTCCAAGTTAATGCAGTGTAGCAGATTTTGTTTTGTTCCATTCGCAATATGTGTCCGAGCCATTTCCATCTACGAGACATGATTTTTGTACTTATTTTCTTGGAATTTGTTGTCTGTAGAATTACATCATTTCGTACAATGTACGGCCATCTAATTTTGAGGACTCTTCTTAAGTACTTGAAGTGAAATGTGCCTAGTTTCAATTCGTCGCTTTCGTTTACTTTCAAGGTCTTGCATCCGTATAGTAGAACTGATTTGACAAGTGTGTTAAATAATCTCAATTTGGTTCGTAGAGTATAAATGTGTGAATGTGTGTATTCTATTTAACTTCATGAATGATATTCTGGCCTTATGGATTCTGTTAATGATACCATCTCCTCTCTCCAGTACAGGTACATGAAATGTCCAACATTACTTCTGTCTGAAACAGACATTTGGCCTTTAAATCCGCACCTATTGCGCTTGATGGCTGTCGGTTGATGCGATTCTGTGGAGAATGCAATGCCAAGCCACAGGTGCAATGGATTATTTTAATGACAATCTGTTCAGACTGCCACCAACAATCTGCAGAGGGCGCCGTGTCATCTAGCGTCCACAGGGAGCAGAGTTGGATTTTTGCGGCTGACAGTCGACCCACAGAGCGTGTGCCTGGCTTAAGAATTAGCACCTGCTTTCCATATAATTTATTATTTCTTGTTTTAGATTAAAATGTATTTTTCATTATCGTGATCATTATTGTTTTATTATTTGTACTTATTCTGCTCACAAAAAAAATGAAGAGAACAAAATAGAAATTATTTTGTTTTAATCAAATTTTTTATTTTATTTTATTTCGAATCACACCCAACAGCGGTTTACCAGCCACTTACAGAATGGATTAACAATAAAATAAATGTATAAATATATAAAAATATATAAAAAGAGTAGCTCAAATAACAGGCATCAGTAAGAAAAACAGACAGATAAAACCAACAGACAAAAGAAATAAATCATTAATAAAATGCCTTAAAAAAGCGAAGCAAGAATAACAATAGAAATGAAAAAGCCTTGAGCAAAAAAAAACCTAAGAAATGTTGTGGAGAACCTTACAAATATTTTTGTTAAAAATAGAGCACTTGTCAGAAAAAAGATCAAAAGAGAGGTGTCTTTAGAGGATATTGTATTATGAAACTTAGGGATTGTAGAAATAAAACCGTCTTTAGGATCAGCTCTGCCAAAAGATATGAAGAAAAAGCAAGAAAAAGACTGTGACGAGACAGAGAGAAAAAAGTAGCCAACGAACAGTCAAAACAAGAATTCATGCACCTGAAAAGAAAATTAAGATCAAAGCAAACCTACTGTATGTGAACTGAGAGACTAAGTGTACTTCGGAGGGTGAACATTGGCAGAAGCGACAAAGGAACTGCATAAAATGTTTTTGCACCAAATCAAACCTAACAGAATTGCACAAGGAAATAGAATTAATCACAACACTGGAGAATTCAAGATGGAGTCTAACAATCGAACATTATAAATTGACAAGAAATTTAGGATTGCGAATGTCAGATGTTATTTCATATGTCGTTATCACAAATCTGATATTTCTTTTTAATTGCATGATATAAATAATATTCGTATTTTTTTTCCATTCATAACTGACCTTTTTCATTTAATATTCACAGCGTTCAGCTCAGCCTAATGAAGGCAGCTGGGATATGCGTGGAAAGAAATTTCGTAACGCTGTCAACGTTAATGTATGGGGAATCATCTGCTTTGAAAATGAACGCTTTTGTCGTTCAGATGATTTAGAGTGAGTTTAGAAAAGTTTAACCATTGGTATATCAGTAACATCTTTGTTATGGTAATTAGTAACACACTAATTAACTCAATCTAATCTAAGATTTAACTTTAATATTTGGTGTAATAATAATAATGTAATAATTAATGTAGTCTACAAAATATATTGAAACATATATTTGAAGATTGAAACACTCCATAGTAAAAGCCTTTAAGACTATGCAAATTATGTTGACTTTATTTGACATAAGAACCTTATTATACTATTATTTAATTATTTAAATACAGTAGTAACTTATCTAAAACTATTTAAATTCTTAGTTCAGGTGGGTCGCCAGTGTAAAACTGATTACCAGGGTGGGTCCCCAGAACTAAGTTAAGAAAGCAGGTTTGTACAGTATGTTCCTGTTAAAATTTGTAATCAAATGGTGTTTATAAAATAAAATAATTGTATAAAAATGTTGCTATATAGTTGATTTTATCATGAAAAAAGCGCATTTCTTAAATATTTTATTCTATTAATTTTCTGTTGTGGAAACTTACTTATAATCTGCACAAAACATCAAGATTATGTTTAATTTTTTTCTGTTGTTTTCAGTAAAATGCACTCGGTTTTAGTGGACGTATCAAGAAAAATTGGAATGCCATTTGAATACGCAGCTTTTGTTAAATACGAGTATCCCGATACAAATTTTGTTGAAATGTTCAAATACTATCGTGAAAAATATCCAGGACTTCAATTGCTGTTTATTGTACTACCTGGAAAAGGGAATGATATATACGGTAACTAAAAGATGATGAAATTCATAATTTTCAAATACCTGGTCATAATAAAGAAACTGTTAAATTTACCATTAAGTAAATTAAATTGACCATTATCAACATGTGTTAATATTGTTTATTAATAAAATACTTTTTTTCAATTATTTTTGTTTATTTGATAAAATAACAAAATACAAAGGATATCAAAATTCCATGACAGTGACCCCTTGTGTCTTTGTTTCTCCTCAATATTCATATCCGTAATCTTTGCAGTAAACCCCTAATTAGTGTTAGAAATTTCCATGTCAATATCTGTAATGTAGAGAGACTTTATCTTATAATCTCTGTCTCTCTAATGAAAACAGTAGTCTTCATAATATTCACTGTAGTTTTTCCAAATTTATATGTACCAGTATTCTTAAAAAACACTCTGTTTTAATTTTGATTACTTTGAATGTTATTTTGTATGTTTATTTTTATAACTGAATTACTTACTTATGCCTATCATCCCTCCTGGGACATAGGCCACTAACAAGATTTCTCCAACCAGGCCGGTCCTGTGCCAGTCTCTCCACTTTCCTCTAGGTATAACGCAACCTCCGGACATCAGCCTCTAGGTCCCGTCGCCAGGTATTTCTTGGACAGCCTCATTTCCTTTTGCCCTGGGGGTTCCAGCAGAGTGCTAACTGAATTGGGAGTTTATTAAATCAATAGTTTTACATATTATATTGTAAATATTTATGATTTTATTTCTTTTTTTTCAAATATATTTTAGGCAACATCAAGAAAGCAGGAGATTCCCAAGTTGGCATAGCAACACAAAACATCCAGGCAATAAATGCAAAGAAAGCAAGTCCACGCACGATGGAGAATATTTGTCTAAAAATCAATGCAAAACTTGGGGGCATCAATAATATCATCAGTAACATGTATGTACATGGATATGAATTACTATAGGAAGCATTTTGTTTAGTATGATTATAGCCCCAAACAATACAGAGGGCAGTTTAATCTTTGATTCCAATATACCGTTCTGTTGTTGTGTTCTTAAAGAAATTATCTACTGTTCGGTAAATTGGTGGTTGAGATATTTGCCTTCAATCTGAGAGTCCTAAATAAAAGGTTTGTTTTTCTCACGACTAAAAACAGTCCTGTGGGAGAACAGAAGATTTCTACTGAAAAGGAAGAAAAAAAAATATTAATTGTTTTATTGCTACTAAAGCCAATACCTGCTACAAATCATAACAATGTACATTAAACATGCAAAAATTGATAAATAAGACTTATTTTACTACTGTACATTACCTATGCATCCTTTAGTAGGCCTAGGATGTTCCACTAAGGACCATATATACCCCTGTTCAAACCGAAAGTATGCATGATTTGGTAGGGATATCAGTCCATAGGTTCCAATGAGCTGTATACCCTGCCTGAAACCAGTGGCGTCTAGAGCCAGTAAGGACCCCGGGGCAACACCTCATATGGGCCTCCCCCTTCACTTGGGTCCCCCAATCTGCTCGCTCCCAAAATTAAGTCTCCTCCTAAATCTGACAACAAAAGTTTTCATCCTGGCTTGGGCTCGAGCCCTATGGAGATTTTGTTCTTACCCCGAAAATGTTTCATCTTGGTCCTGACCCCCCCCCCCCTTGCAAATTAAAATATTGCAAGTTGTTCTTCTGTAAAATATATTTTTTGACCATAATTTTTAACCTTAATTTTTTTTTTCAGATCTCCAGTAATGCGTGACCCCGTTCTTATTCTTGGCGCTGATGTCACGCACCCATCTCCAGGAGATTTTCACAGACCTTCAATTGCTGCTGTAAGAATTTCTATCATTTTCAAGTATATTTTCCATTTTGATTACCTACCAATAACAATTAATGAAATTTACAAATTTTTTATAACAGTGTATTCACAAACATGACATATATCTGAAAACATAAGAAAATAAGACACCGGGAGAATTTAAAATAAATTTACATTTTGAAATTCGATAGCAATGTAATTCTTTACATACACATTTCAAAAATATTATTTATTCTTTCTTCATATTGTATGCACTTTCAATACTATTGGTAGGCCTGAATAGAACCTCATTCCACTCTAATACCTGTCTCTTATACACATCTGATCTGTCAGCTAATCTGGTGATAGCCAATGAGCTAAGGTTACATACATAGAAATCTGGTTTTAATTATTTATGATTAATATTAACTAATGCATAATTTTAAAATATACTTCTATTTATTGTGCTATAGGTTGTTGGTAGCACAGGCAAAGATGCTTTCAAATATAATGCTAGGGTTAAAGTTCAAGCACATCGGCAAGAGGTTATTGAAGACTTGTCTGGGATGGTGAGAGAATTACTTATAAAATTCAGAGAAGCCTCAAATGTTCCACCTAAGAAAATTATCATGTACAGAGATGGAGTTAGCGAAGGACAGTTTCAGCAAGTATGAATTAATTCTCCAAAAGCTCATAATTGAAATTTAACATGCGCTGTAAAGCCAGACACACATTGCACCAAAAGTCGTCGGCTAGCACGATTTTATGAAGAATGTATTGGGACAAGCTACATGCAATGGATAATTTTTAGTGCTGCCACTTGTATGTAGTGTCATGCCCAAAGTGCTTACAGAGCAAAATTTGATAAGTGAGTCTGATAGTCATACAGCCAATGCAGTGTGTACTTGGCTTTGCAGAGCTCTACTGTTGGCAATATATTCCTCTTCGCTCAGTGCAAGAGTCTTAATCTCTCCATAGAGAAAGAAAACAGTTGCTGTAAAGGGATCATACCTTAAAATTTGATGGTAAAAAAATGTTTTTCCCTGATTAAAAAGTTATATGAGGTTTGCCATCCTGAAACCAGCATCGGTGACCAAAAAATGAAAATTGACTTTTGAATATATATTCTTATTCTCCACATAATGATAGGTCATTATTGCCAAAGTTATGAGTAAAAGTATTACAGCTTCTCTGTATTAAAGTATACAGTACAGCCATATTCTTATGCTAATTACTCAGTTTAACATTTAGCAAAGGTATGTTGGTTTTAGAATGGCAAGCCTCATATAATTCCCTGACAAGAACTGCATTTCTCCTTATCCATATCCATGAAAATTAACAGGATATTGTTCTCCCATCACTTGCAGGGGTTCGGCAGCCAGCTGAGGCCCAATTGCCAATGAAGTGTACCCCAGCTGTTGGGAAGCACCCAGTACAATTAATTGGGGAAATACTTTTCAAGTCTGAAGGTGCCATTTCCGGGCATAGGTCTCTTTTCTTAAAAATTTGCTCACCTCCTCAGTCCCAAATATGATTGTGGCCCCTCATTTCAAAACTGCTAGATACACTACTGTCCACATTATAACAATGTTTCATTAAAAGTTTTTAGCTGGGTGGCTCTTTTTAAATTTAGCAACCAGCATTTGAATGTAATATTTTTTGTGGGTTTTCCAGATTTCACCAAAGAAAAAGAATTGCTTTATCAGAAATATAGTATTAATTAGTTTGCATATTATTTCTCTATATCAGTAGATCTTTTCTATGATTCAAAATTCACTGAGGTTTTTTTTATATTATATATTTATTATTTTTTATTACTTTATATATTTCACAAAGGTTTTGGACCATGAGTTAATTGAAATACGAAAGGCATGTATGTCACTGAGTGAAAATTATAAGCCTGGCATCACATTTATTACCGTGCAGAAGCGGCACCACACTCGACTATTCTGTGTCAACAAACAAGATGAGGTAAACTACATGATTTTTATCTGTTGGCTACACAGTGCAACATCCATTCCATCTGTATCAAAAATATTCTTATCGACACTACAATTATTTTAGTGATCTTCTCCAAGATTATTTTAATTAATATCATGAAATTTCAAGCAAATAAATGTTTCCAGAACTTTCTTGTACCAGAATACACCTATTTGAATGGCTTCTTATTCTAGATTTAAGCTTGGCCACTATTGACGACTCTGTAGGCCTGAATAGAACCTCATTCCACTCTAATACAGTACAGTACTTCTATTTTGATGGCTCCTCAGTCGAGGTTTAAACTTGGCCACTACTGACAACTTAGTAGGCCAGGATCCTGACCTACAGATGTGCTCTTCCATATAGTGGCAAACACACTATCAACATGGGGGAAATCTGTAGATATTGGGTGATTTTAAATTAAAGTTTAATTGTGTTACTTAGCATGTTTTTTCTTTGTCCACAGTGCGGCCGTGGTCGTAATGTTCCTGCAGGCACGATTGTTGATAAGGACATCACACATCCTGTGAATTGGGACTTTTTTCTTTGTAGTCATGCTGGAATACAGGTATTCAATAGATATCAACCTAACATTGATGATGATAATTATAATCATTGCTGACAGCAACAAAAGAAAGAAAGATCACTGAATGTGAAAGGCCATGATCGTCAAATCTTGACTGAAAATGGTGCTTTAAGATTTTATTGTGAAATTATAAAAATAGAAAAAGACTATCTAGGCTGTTGCTATGTATTACTTTACTAATAATAAAAGAATTGTAATATTATTATTATTATTATTATTATTATTATTATTATTATTATTATTATTATTATTATTATTACCTCCACCAAGGAGGCTATGTATTTCCCATGTCAGTCTTTTAGCAAGATAACACAAAACTAATGAATGGATCATAATAAAATTTAGTGGAATGGTACATGATATTGTATTCAAAAAAGACACCTTTTAATTTTTGGAAGGAAAGGTCATTGTAAAAGGTCATAGTTACAGAAATTCAAAGGTCAAGATAATTTGGTTGAAATGACCAAGTTTAGTGAAGTGACATTTGAAAAATACCTGAATAAAGTGATGTGGTAGAGGTATTAATAATTTCATTATATTAACTATTAGGCAAGATTTATTATACCTTGTTTCATGAACTTATTTTCTTAAAGATCATCAGAAGAGAGCAAAAAAAAAAATTGAAATAAAATTTGTTTTCTTATTTAGAAAATAGTTTGCCAAAAACATCCATATGAAGGAGAAAATAAAAATAAAATTTGTATAATTAGGAAGAAAGATACACATCTTATTTTTGGAAATTTCAAGGCAGTGGCAGGTGTAGAAAAATAAAGAAAAACTTTAGTTTTCTGGTGCACTTTGTCAAACTAAAATTTTATTTATTTTTTTTTAAATCTTAATTATTGGCGGGAGGCGGGTTCACTAAACAAGGTAAAAAATGTCTTGCTTTAAGTATATTTAACATATTACTTTTTTTATCATCAGGGTACGAGTCGTCCAGCTCATTATTATGTGCTGTGGGATGACAACAACTTTACACAAGATCAGCTAGAAGAGTTCACAAACCAGATGTGCTATACTTACGCACGCTGCACTCGTAGCACATCAATTCCAAGCCCTGCTTACTATGCACACCATGCTGCCTTCAGAGCTAGAGATATCCTTCAGAGTGACTCAAAGGATAGGTAGGCCTATGTTATTCTTTGAAAAACATGTACTTCAGATAATATAAAGAGCTTATTTTGGAGGAAATTTGCTCACTTTGCCATTATACCAGGATGACAAAGGATCCCTTGATCTTTATCCATATTGAATAGGATAACAAATTATATTAATTGGGAAAACATCTATTTTTAATCTCATTAAAAAGCTTATTCTTATGCACTAACCAACCCCCACATTATGCTTTATTCAATTTTATAAAACCATAGATTATAATAAAGTGGAATATTTTTAAGAATAAAGGTACAGTATATACTGTATATTGTACAGTATATATATTTGTCAGGTATTTGACATTTTGAATTTTCTTTTGCGGTATTTAGTGACTCTGGAAGTGCAAAAACTGGAACAAGCAGTGATAGTACACCAAAAATTACCGCGGAAGAGTTGATAAAGATGAATGATGTTGTTCAGATCCACATGAATCAGAACAGCCGTATGTACTATGCATAAATGGGAAAGCCTTGTACATTCGAGTCCCATGTCAGACGCTTTTTCATAATGGAAACAAAAACAGCAATATAGACTTCAACACTACAGAGAATTCCTATAAGGACACACCTCTGTTTGGAACTGGTTCATCACTGAGGGTGCCATAATTGTCAGCTAAAGGAGACAAAATATTTTTCACTCATAAATACCATGTCTGTATATAAAAGGGACATTCATAAGAAATACACTTTATAGGGCCTTACAACTGTTGGACTCAATATAAACCAACTTAATGAACACTGTGTTCAGAGGGAAAGGAGGAGTTAGCTGGCCATGTTGAGACTAACATCTTGAAATATATAGAAGAAACCTTAAACAAGAAAAATATAGAATAAATCCTTTCAATGAATATCAATCAGAACAGTATCCATTCATTTTATGCTTTGTCATATATGAAGTAAAGGGTTCTTTATTAACGATGTAGGAAAAAAAAGCCCTTATATACATTTATTATTATCTCGGATATTTAAATATTATTGTTTGAAATTGGCAGTTGGTAAGGTGTGCCACCAACTGAGGATTGTCAACTTCAGATATTGGACAAGATATAAGAACATATTATAATAATTCAATTGTTTTGATTCATTAACTTAAGATAACAATAATATGATCAAAATAGAATTTCATAGTATGGATAAGAATATAAAATTAAGTACTGTAAATACAGTGAATATTTATTGTGTATGGGGGAAACGATAGCCAGAAAGGCTTTAAGTCTGATCCTCCAATTGAACATACAGTATACTGAATTAGTAAATGGCTAGTAATAAAATAAGTAATAAGAAAACAAACAAACAAATAATAATAACAGATAATAAATGTAGAGAAATGTTGCTGGATGTAACATGTAAAATATATTGAGTAATAATCAGGAAGAAAATTTTCGGTTGGGTTCGCCAAAACAATGGTCTTTGGTCTCTAAATAGAGGGAATATTTAATTAGAGGGAACAGCTAATGATAAAAGATAGGCATTCAACCGGGCTGTAGAAACATGGTTTTTAATTAGAGGGACACCTGTATTTTTTTTTTTGAAATATCAAATGACAAGATTCTTTATTAATTCGTGTGTTTATAAAACAAAAAATGAGTGGTTAAGCTGCACTGAATGCCAGCGTCCCTGCTTTTACTGATTGCTTTGGTATTCTTTACGATCCAGAAATTTGGATCTAGTCTTTATTCGTGCAATGGAAAGAATATTTTAGTTCATTGAAAGAATAATTGTTCCATTCAACTTGGCTCTGTGTTATGGAACATTCCATCTTTAAATTCATTGCATGAATAAACATTTGTATACTAAAGAAATTATTGCTTATTGTATAAGTATACCGATCATGTCACTGAACGGCTGTATTGTGTTGTTACTTTTAAAAACTTATTCTTAATCATTTGTATATTAACAATACAACACGATATACTCTTTATATCTATATAAAATTTACAAAACATCTCAAGTCTTGGGGAATGTTTTGAATAGCGAACTCAAGTGGTTATAGAATGATAACATTATAATTCTTCTAAGCAATAAAAGATAAAATATTTAATGATAAACAGCTATCAATGAATACTATCTGGTCAAATAAGGTTAATGTGATAGTGAACTTTAACTGAATAATCATACATGCTGTATTGAGGATCCAGGCACAAATTTTGGTACTCAGTGAATTCTGTGAAATATAATTTTTCATTGTGCTGTGGGCACCATACCCAATTTAATTGTCCTTTAGTGGCGTAACCAGAGAGGTGGGGTAGGGGGTGTATTTACAGTGCCTGTGCACCCTTTGTTCAACATGAAAAAAATTAAAAGTAAATTAAGAGAAATAAATACTTCGACGTTAACAACCAAGTGTAGTAGCCATCGATCTCGTTTTCTAGTTTTGTGCATAATTATGAATATTTCCTTTCAGTACCCTAATTTTAAAAATTCTATATGGGCCACTGATGCATTGGACTGTTTTAATCTCACATATTCTATCTCATAAGATTGCATTAAATTCAGTAGTTTGAATATAGATTTAATGAAGAAAATGGACAGGTTTATTAAAATCTGTGTTGATTCAGTGTGGGATGTATGGATGCTGTTCCTATGTAAAATATGTTGATAAATGAGCTTGTCCAATAAAGAAATTCATTGTGAATTTATAATTTCAAAAAGTATACAGTATTTGGTATATCCTGAGTGAATAATTATTGTTTAATATAATTTTGATTGTTTTAGAAACACTTTTGTAGGCAGATTTGTTTAAATAACGTAATTACACAACCAGTATCAGGGGTGGGTTTAGAGCTCCCCCTCCCCCCTTTTTTAAGAAATAAAAAAAAAGATTATTTTCAAGCTTATAAGAAAATATTTCGCGGGGCATGCCCCCCGGACACCCTAGGGTGATGTGTTCTCGATTGACTTTCGCCCCCCACCTCCAGATAAGGGTGAAGATTGTTGGGCAGTCAGTGACAATTACAGTTTCAGTACTATATGCAGTGTATTATATAGAGCAATTGAATTGTACTGGGGAATTGACAATTAAAAAAAACTCCTTGGGACAATTTTTGACCTACCATTAACTTCAAAATATTATTATATATATTGTAATATATTGTATTATTCGCTCAAAATAAAATACAAATTGCATGATTTGGTCATTCTAAAGCAGATTATGCTATACTAGCTTCTGAGTTCAGTTGTAAACCCGGGTACTCCAAGTTTGTCTCGGCCTACTCTCTTAAACCAGTAAGAACAATACCCTGTAAGACATGCTTAACAAAAAAAATAATATTGAGTTTAAAGTATCCCTTTAATTTCACATCTTGTTCATTGCCGTGTTGCTGTATATATTATTTGTGTGCCGCATCGGGTGGAAAGGCGTAGTTTCAAATAAAGTATTATTAATGAAATTGTCTTCTTGAGTCAAACTGGTAGGCCTACTGAGTGCCCGGCCTGGAGGACATACTTTTTCCAAAAGTGTTTGTATTTTGAAAGTGGAAAAGCACCAGTGTTGACGGCAGTGGCGTAGAAAAGTATTTTTCATTAAGGGGTGGGGGTGGGGGAATGATTGAAATTTCTTGGAATTGACATAAAATTACTGATGTCCTTCACACCCTTCAGTGTGAAAATGTGGCTTGCTTTGCAAGCACATCTAATATCTAAGGAAAGAAGAGCTTAGATTGGTACCAGATAAAATAATTTTGTTATCAACATTAATACATTATGCTAATATTCATCTTTGTAAGCGCATAAGACATTGCAAATTATTTCTGTGACAGTCTTTTGAAGTGTGTAAAGCTCCATTTTATCCCATACAATAGTCAAAATATTGGGGGGATGATACAATGGACCATCCCCCTTGTCAAATATTGGGGGAGATATATCCCCCATTCCCCATGGATCTACGCCTATGGTTGACGGTTCGGGAACCGTGAACTCTTCGTCGGTAAATAGTAAGAACACTCTTGCTAGTCAGGGAGCCATTCCAGGCACCTTAGCTCCAACCGTGACCATGGTGTTGGGCTTAGTGGGTGTGCAGGGCCCCTTCGAGGAACTGGTAAACATGGGCGGATCCAAAGAGATGTGCGAAAGGGGGGGGGGTGGTGTGGGATCCGAAAGCGTGGCGGATTGAGATAACACTACCCTAGGGGTCCGGGGAAAACAAATACTGTATTTGTTTTCTAGACGCCACCTGTGAGGCATTTTAGGCGATCAATATTTACTTTTTCTCTTTTTTAAACATTCTTTTTCTCCTTTTTACTTTCCAAAAGGGGCCCGCGCCCCCTCCTAAATCTTCCCCTGGCTAAGGAGGTCAAGGGGTAGCAGGGACGGATCCAGAGATGTCCGATAGTGGGGCTGATCGAGGTAACAC